GTAATTCTAATAGAGTTACGGTTTGAGTTGTTCCCTTTCCCTCCCGAGTGAAGGCCAGAATTTCTTTTTATACGCGCCTGATGGCTCTACCATGAGCATCGAAGCCATTTTGGGAGTTCAAAGAAAGCCATAGCTTGGTGCTCCAAATTCTCACTATGAATAGAAATAAGAGTGCACCAGGATAAATCGCAGAAGCGCTCTAAAAGGATAAGCTATAACCTCGAAAATTACATCAAACAAAATCACCATGTACGATCAACCTGTGTCAGCTCTACAAAAGAAGGAGGATAGAAATGAATCCTATCACTGATATGCACAACTAGCGTAGGGTACTGCGCAGCGTGCTGCCAGCTCGTTAGGCGTTCTGATCGAAACCAGAGAAGAGAAACTTTAGGCATAGAACTCAGGATGAGGTTACGCATCACAACGTCTTCAGGAAACGATCACGAAAATTTTGTTGAAGGAACAAGTCGAATGCTGGCCCATATTTCTTTACAAGTAAACAGCAGTCATCTCAACCATCAAAGCTAAACTGCTCGCTACCGAAGGAGCGCGGTATGGAAGGAACAAATTACTTATTATTTTGAATGAAAAATAGCTCAACAAAGCCCAGCTTCGCCCCAGTCTTTCGTTAAATTTCCCTTCTCTAGTTCCAATCAAAACGCCCATCGAGCATGGCAGCACGCTTCGCAGGACCCTACGCTAGCTGTCCATATCAGCGATTTTGCTATGAGATTTCACTTCCATCCACTTTCTTTCGTAGAGCTGACACAGGTTGACCGTACATGGTGATTTTGTTCGACGTAATCTTCGTGCTTTTAGCTAATTCTTTCGAAGAACTTCTGCTACTTGTCCTGGTGCACTCTTATTTCTATTCATAGTGAGAATTTGGAGCACCAAGCTATGGTTTTCTTTGAACTCCCAAAATGGCTTCGATGCTCATGGTAGAGCCATCAGGCGCGTGTAAAAAGAAATTCTGGCCTTCACTCGGGAGGGAAAGGGAACAACTCAAAGCGTAACTCTATTGGATTACCATACACCGTACAAGTGCTACCATCGTTGCTGGATGGACAAAAAAATTCAACTAAAATGAGACTTGTGTCGACGGTCTTGAAGGGGTGTCCTATGATTTTGCAACTACAAAACTAAAAAAATTTTTCTTAAAATACGGAAAGCTATACAGATGATCTGGCTACTTGTTTGTGTAGATTATTGATAGAGGCGGTTCCGGTTCTACCAATTGCGATGGACGGCTTTTCTAGAGGCCGAAATATTCATATATTTTTGGAGTGTCCTATGATTTTGCAACGCACTGTATACTTTTGAAGCTATAACTCAGTTTCAATATTCCCAGAGACAGAGCGAAAAGTTTATAGAGGTTGGTGATGGAAGAAAGGTTAAAGCAACAGTCCCTAACAGGGTGGGCGTGGTCGGAAACGGCTGCAATCCCCTCGGCCGATTTCGACCACGCCCACTTAAGCTCCCTCTGTAGCGGCTTTCCAGTGTGAGTTTTTCTTCAATCACATTCCTACGTTCTTGACTAGAAGCTGAACAGCTCCGAAGTGGAAATCGGCCGAGGGGATTGTAGCCGTTTTCGACCACGCCCACCCTGCTAAGACTGTCGCTTCAATGCTGTTGTTATGCGGGACGTACCGAAGTGGACGGAATTGTCCACGAATCTTCATAAATCGGTTGCAGAGGTCATGAAGACCGGGAAAGAAAGAGCGTAGGAGGGTAAAAAATAAGAGAATAAGGAAAGGAGGTCAATACCTAGGTGGGCGGGTGTCCATCAAAGTGGGCGGAGTTAGGCAAGAAGGCTCATAATTCGGCTCCATGAGATCCCAAAGGCCGGGAAAAAGTGGAGTGAGATTGACGAACGGAAGTAAGTCAATCTATAGGTGGGCGAGGTACGCACCAAAGTGGGTGGTTGTCACAAAACCTCATAATCCGGTTCCACGAGCTACGGGAGACAGGGAAAAAAGGAGGTCAAGTGCTATTGGAGGGGAGGCACGCAGGAAAGTGGGTGGAGTTTGCTGCCAGACTTATTACTCGGTTCTCGGTAGTTTCAGAGATTAGGACATAGTGGGCGAAGGGAAGGAAGTGAATTCACAATAGTGTGCGGACCCTTTCGACCCTTCCTCCTTCGTCAACCAGTGCCGCTTTTTGCCGTTTTTCGGACTGATCATTAATCAATTGATAATCTCGTGGTAACCTCCCCACCTTTTTCTTTCTCACCAACCTCTCCCCACTTTCCCCGGTCTCTGAGTAATCAAAAGTGCATGATTTCTTTCGGTGTCTAAACCGATTAATTTATTTTCGGTCTCTGAACCGATTCATATGTTCAGCAGCATAACCCGCTTCTTTGGTGCATGGTCCGCACAGGGTCAGTCAAAAGTGGTACGATTTCCATTTCTTCGCACCTAATTGATTATGACTTGCTTCGAGATGGGAAGCAGCCCTGATTGAGTGGGATAACTCAGAGATCATGTGCAACCTCCACATCCCCATTGATTGAGCAAAGCCACTAGTCTGGGAAATCAACAAGTTGGAATGCAAAAATGACACTCTAAGCGACGATACTAGTAACTGAGATTATCTGAATAATATTATCATCAAATAGATCACCCTATAACCCGGAACATTCGAATTTCAGGATATAGAAGTTGCACGAAGGTTTTGAATCCGAGATGTGAGCCGATGTCTGAGTTGAAATGGATCCGCCGAGGACACATGCTTTTGTGAAGCACTTACAAGGGAGGTCGTTCAGGGTGTGCCATGTTTTTTCAAAATTGATTCTTGCATGATACACGCAGGAACCACAGAAGCATGGTTCATTTTTCCTTAACGGCTCTCTGAATATCAGGAAAGGGTTCCTAGTTCGATTCCTCGTGGTGGCTAGTTTTTGCATTTCGTGTTGAAGTTTCCAAATGCGCGCAGAGTGGAGTTAGCATGAATGGTTAGTACCAATTGCATGGTTAGAAACGTGACCCTTACAAATAGACTTTGATTGTGTCGTGACTTTCGTCCGACTCTAGTCAAAAGGGGGTTTCTAGTCGCGCTCTACGCTGGGTCCCGGCGTGACCTCGATCGACGTCTCCGGACTCCCGCCAAGGATCGCTGTGGCTCCGCCTCCCGCGTATTCCTGCAAGCAGTCTGCCTATTCTACTGCACTCCGGATTGACCGCGCATTCTCTACGGCGGTCCGACGTCCCTTCACCGTATCCGCTTAGCGGCAGCCTTCCTGTTCGACTGCGTGTGCCGCCTGTGGCCTGTTATTATCTCTGCCGTACGTGGCACGATGTACACCGACCTCACCCGCGCATGAGCAACGGATGCCTACGATTGTCGTACGCCTCAAAGGAGCACAGGTAACTGCGTAGTGTCGCGGGACAACTCCAATTGGGCAGCCGACCAGGATGGGTCTCTCGTATCACTCGCGGGCTAAAGTCTCGTAAAACCCGTAGGAAGGAATGGTCCGTCCCGTGAGCGTAGGATGGTTTTTCTTATCGCCGTACAATTAAATTATTTGCTTTATTGTAACATTCGTGCAATTTATCGTAGGATGAATATTATGATTACCAGGTTTGCTCCGCCCGCTATCGCGCGCATCCCAGGGAAGGGAGGAACCAGGAATGGCAGCATGATTTACTCTATTAACCACCCCACCATTGAATGTGTTATACCTCCTTACACCCCTTCTCTCCGGCGCACAGCAGCGCCATGTTCTCCTTCTTTCTCCTCTCCTCCTTGCCTCCCTCTTTCTCTCTCCCCCTCCCCTCCCTTCCATGACATCAACATCACAAAGTGTTGTCCTTCGTGTTCCCTGGTTTTGTTAGCGGTCGGTCAGGACGTACAGAACGACACACGCACGCGCACAACACGCACACACCGACAAAACGACACACCAAAGTTCTGGTTTATATAATGAATTGATTGAAGTCTATCGTTATTCATGCCGTAGTAGTCGGCTATTATTAATTGATTGTTCAACGTATAGCGTAGGATATTGAACGTAGTCTTAGGCATTTAGTCTAAGGGTCGTACTTAAAAATACACACCGTAGGGAATATGAGGGCCTAATCTTAAAATAACTTCCCCGTGGGAGCTTGAGCGAGGCGAGCGTGGTCGGAGTCCCGTCGTACCCCCGCACCGTGGTCAGGCCTTCCCTGTCAGTACACCGACGTAGATGGGAAGTAGGCCTGCCCACGGCGCCACATGGTGCATCGGGCTGGGGTCCGACGTGTGGGAAACCCACGTTGAGCGAAACCTGGATCGAACCTTGCTCGCGCTCGCCGACCTTTAGGTCTAATAGGTCGCACCGTAGTGCATGTTGCTTAGTTAAGCACACCTGTCCTCACCACACGCGTACGCTATAACTGGGGTAATGCCCTCTCGGCCCCTTGTGGGACCATGCTCTCTTACCTACGTCGCCTTGAGGCAGGAGCCAGCGTAGGGACAGCCGTAAAGCACGTCGAGGCCTGGTTAACTCTGTCAGGTGGGGGAAAGTATGTGGAGACCCCTCTCGTACATGCATGCAAACGGGGATCGGCAGGACGCCCCAGAACCACCCGCGTCGTAGGGCTCCTACGGAAAGGGAGGATACAGCGCTACGCAACGGGCTGGGTAGTTTCCCTTGTAGCAGCTCGGAAGCTTTTGTCGACGTCCCTCCCGCAACCTCACATGATACCTGGCCTTAGCTATAAGACGCTCGCGTTGGGAAACACGCGATGCCAATTATGCTCATGCCTGTGCAACATCTCAACCTACAGCAATAGTTTCTATGATCAGTCACGTCGTACCCTTCCGTCGTTCAATTCCTTTCGCGCATGCCGTCGTTGCTCATATTCGAATCCCGCTATTTCGGATTCGCTTGGCCAGCGTCGGATAACGCGTTGTATCCGCAGGGAGCTATCGGCCAATAGCTACCCTACGGCACGGCATACATTCACCCGCATTTTAGATTGGGGTACGGCAGTCACTACCTCCTGCCAGTGTTGAAGATGTTAACGGTCAGTGCGTGTAAAGCGAACTTGACGAAGGCACTCACGGCTCTGGATAGTGTACAAGGTAGGATCCCGGCTTTCCTGTTGAATGCAATAGATGCACAGGTTAGCGATGGAGATCTCGACGCTATACATGCCTCCTTAGTAGCTCACCTTACCCAAAGATTTGCAGCACTTCGCACGGTGAAAGAAAGACGACAGGCGATCATAAATTTAGTCGAGAGAGTCAATCCGGACGCTGATAAGGAAGCTTAGGAAGCTTGCATCAAGGAATCTCGCGCCGAGGATGCAATAGCGGCTGCAGAAGACACCGCAGGGTCTCTTCACGTACGCTTGAGCGAAGTCAATCTTCGCATTGAGACCAGCATATCAACGTTACTTCCGCGTACAGCGCAAAAAGAGCAACAAGAGATTTCCGCAGTTGCGTTTAACGCGCGCAATAATAGCCGTCCTTTCATTTTACCGCAGCGGTCCCTTGGTGGGCAGTACGGCTTGGATGCACCTATAGTGCTTTTGCCCTATGCTCCCGCGCAGGCCGCATATAACAATGGTCCGCTTTCATTCCAGCCAGCGGTGCAGCTTGGTAGGCTCACACTGGAGCCTTTCATAGGGGACATCACCCAGTTTCACAGGTTCTGAGGCGCCTTTGAGCTCGCAGTACACAGTGACCCGCATACGTCACCAGTTTCTAAATTCTTATATTTTCGAAGCTTACTTAAGGGCGAGGCCCAAGTAGTACTACAGGATCTTGGCCCCGACGAGTGTAATTACTTTAAACTGGTGAAGTCCTTGAAGAGGCGCTACGATCGTCCTTATAAAACTCGTGCGACTCTGCATAGGCAACTTCAGCGGCTATCCACAGCTCGTAATTCAGGTCCAGATCTTCGTAATACTTGGTCCCATATATCTGGTATTCTTCACGGCTTGCCTAGGTACTAGGATTTTCGTACAGTTCTTCCGCTACTTGACTCAGTCAAGAGCAAGATTCCTTCGGACGTTCAGCGGAAGCTGCACGATCTCGAGTTCCAGACGAATTCGGACTTCGACTTGGACCGGACTCATGCAAAAACTTGACGTCATCATCTCTTTCAGGGAGAAATACGAAGACTCCACGACGCATAGAGACAGCTTCGCCGTGAACACAGCTTCTCGTCAACGTAGTCCATCTCGCTCAGAGTCACCTCTTCGTCGTTCGGGTAGTCCAAGCAAGTGTTGTTTTTGCGAGTCAAAGGATCACAGCTCGACACGTTGCCGACTAGAGGTACCAGTAGTTGCTCGTCGCACAATCGTACGCCTCAGTGGATTGTGTTGGAAGTGCTAACGCGAGGGTCACTCGTCTCGTACGTGTAACTATCCCTCCTGCCGCTTATGAGGTGAAGATCATAATGAGTTCTTATGCAATAGCACGTCGATCACAGTGAATCGCGCAGAGATCGCCGGAGAAGCGATGATCGTCATGGATATCGTTCGCCTACTCGCTACTCTTCGCGTAGTCCATGCAGGGATGGCAGAAGGAACCGTAGCCCCTCCTGGAGCGACAGGTCCCGTTCGCCTTCTCGTGATCGACACGAGATACGAAGCTATGACTCGGATCGTTACTCTCACTCACGTTCACCACAGGGTGTCGCGTTCCAGTTCCAGTAAGGGATCGTTCTAGTCATCACATGCGCCGATCGTCTATATATCCGCAACAGAATCAGGCTCTCAAGTCTGAAAATGAAGCGGTCTCCGTGTTGTCATATTACTCGGAAGCGTATTCAGCCAATTCGATTAACTGCCAGCGTAGATTCGCGTCACTGCTCGTAAAGGGTAAAGCCCTCAACTGTATCTCCACACGATTCGAGGACATTGTCTTGTTCCTTGACTCCGGAGCGCAGAAAGCTTCATAACGTCGAGCTCAGCAAAACATCTAGGTCTCAACGTTGTCAACAGTCAACCTCGCACGTTCATTACGTTTGGTGGTCATACAACTACGGAAGTATCAGGTGTCGTCCAACTTACGCTTGTGGATTTGCTAGGTGAAGAACTCGTAGTCGAGCTCACCACAAAGCAAACAGTCACTTCAGCTCAGTCTCCGCCGCATTTGTCATCGGAAGATGTTGACTTCATGCAGTGTCGTGGATTCGCATTGCCCTCTTGTGCCCCTCGCAGTGGTACCAGACCTCCTTATCGGTATCAACTACTTCTGGAACATTTTGTCGTCCGAGCCTCCTATTTGTCTGCCTTCGGGCATGGTTCTATGTCATACTCGATTCGGCGCAGTTGTCTCAGGCAATTCGGTCTTTCGTCGTCCTTCCGCAAAGCCCAGACTCCTTCGATACCATCGCAGTCAGCGAGATCGATGACGACAGCGCACTCCAGCGCTTGTGGTCAATAGACGCTCTCGGCATAGCCGACGACTAAGACCCCTCCGTTGATAGTAAACTCGAAAAGCAGCTCATTCAGGAGTTCAATAGCACTTCAGAATCATCCTCGCTTAAAGGACAACAAGCAACTGGCGTATTGTCGTCCTCCAAATCAATATCAGCGGTCAAGTCAGGCGCCAGAAGTCTGGAAAAAATATGTTAAGGTGATTGAAGATCACGTTACTGCAAGCTTCGTAGAGGGTGTCGAGGAATACGTCTTCGACAATCCACTCGTCTACTACATACCGCATCAGGCGGTGTTCAAAGAGTCCTCCTCTACTACGAAATTACGTTGTGTCGTTTTCGATGCCTCCTCTAAGCGTAAGTATGCGTGTAGTCTCATTGAATGCATTCACCGAGGTCCTTCACTCTTACCTGAGCTGGCGGGTATCCTACTTCGCACACGTTTGCATCCGTTTCTTCTCATTGCAGACGTAGAGAAGGCATTCCACCAAGTCCGACTTCAACGCTCACAACGAGATGCAACTCGCTTCTTGTGGCTGAAGGACACAGCCCAACCTCCGTCTCCTACTGATCTTCGTATTCTTCGTTTTACTCGCACACCATTCGGGGTCAACGCATCTCCATTCTTGCTTGCTGCCGCCACCAAGTTGTACCTTCAACGAGAAGTGTATCCCATAGCTGACGAGATTTCGAACAACACCTACGTGGATAACGTCATCTTGGGTGCCATCTCGAGGGAAAAGGCCCTCAACAAATACAAGCTCGCCAAGTCCATTTTCGTTAGGATGCATATGAACCTTAGGGAGATCCTGTGCAATTCCTCGTATGTCAACGCCTCCATAGCCTCAGGATCGCGCAATTAACCTTCTAATGCTTCTCTGCTAGGTGTTCGTTGGCAGTTTGAAAGGGATGTTTTTGTCATCCGCATCAAAGCCTCACATATTCAAGCGAAAAACAAGCGCACAGCATCACGCGCTTGAGCATCGACTTATGATCCCCTGGGATTACTCCCCCCATTTTTGGCCCCAGTCAAGGTCTTTATCCGAGACCTCTGGATCCAAAACTTGAGAAGGGATACTCCCTTCGATGAATCACATTTACGTCAGTGGCCGCAGCTGCTGTCAGATCTAAAACAGCCCATTCCGCCTATTCGACGCATCATTGTGCCGCCAAAATTAACTCTTAACAGCGTAGAGCTGTGCGTGTTTGGCGACGCCTCTAAGCGCCTTTACGCGCGTTGTGCGTATTTAGTTCGCCGTTCGTCTGTGGAGGTACATTCTAATCTGCTCATGGCAAAATCTAATCTTAACAATCCAAATCCAGTTACCATACCGCGTTCAGAACTCAATTAGTCCGCAGCTCTAATTAGTGTCCGTCTTGCGCATTATCTGATAAAAACATGAACCCATCCTTTGCTGCTATTCACATATTCTCAGACTCACTGATAGCGTTGCATTGGATACACGCTGCAAAGCCATACGAAGCCTTTGTTCAAAATCGCGTAGAAGCCATTTATCGTGCCGTCGCAGGACGTGAGGCTCAGAACATTCTAGTTAAGTTCCACTACGTAGCTTCCGAAAAAAAACCCCAGAGTGTGCAACTCGCGGTTTGGCGAAGGAGGAAGCTGAAAATCACATTTGGTGGACTGGACCTCTATTTCTGCGCACCTGATCGATGGCCCGACGCAGAAATCGACTTTCAGATCCCGCTAGAAGGCGGAGAGGATGTGCAGCAAGAGTATGCGAATGTGCATGTAGCACATCAAAAAGAGTTTACGTCGGTGTTGCCATTTTCGGTCACTAACAACTATTACAAGCTCGTTCGAATCACAGCTTATGTCCTTAAGTTGCTACGTAAGTGCATTTTTGATCGCGTATCGAAGCCTGTACGCGCCAAAATTTCATTAAAATTGCCTTCCGTAGCTCAAATTACGCCTGTCAGCACTATACAAGCTTCTGACGTAGATACCGCAGAGATTCAGCTCATACTCGCGCATTATCGCGAGGGTGAGTATCAGCGGTTAAACTCGCCAAGTTCAATGGTCAGCGAGCACAAGACCAGCTGATTCGCTGTCCATCACGCGTAGGTCCGTTAAAGACTGCACCAATCTTGCTACTACCTCAGCGCAAGCTGACAGAGCTTCTAATACGTCAATATCATCAGCTCATTCATCACTCTGGTGTTCACCACGTTATAGCTAACCTGCGTAAAAGGTTTTTAATACCTTTCATTCGCAAGTGCGTCGCCAAAGTACTGCGTACGTGCGTAACATGCAAAAAAATCAACGAACATACATCTGAAAGTAGTTCTTGACAACCCCACTCAGAAGTTTTCACTTGCCTTCCGTCAGTTTATTGCGCGTAGGGGCACACCGGGCGTCGTAAACAGCGATGATTCAACGACGTCTCATTCCGCAGAAAGCGCTATAACATTAGTACTTTACTCCCCAAAGGCTTGAGAAAGCGTTTCTATTTGCTGCGTAAAGCACAAAATAAACTGGAACTTTATAACGCCACTTTCCCCCTGGAAAGGGAGCTTTTACGAGCGCATAATTGGTCTCTTAAAAGCCGCGTACAAAAATCCGTTTGTCGCTCAGTGCTACGTTTAAATCAACTTCAAACCGTAGTCGCGGAAATGGAAGCGACCGTAAACTCTCGGCCCATTACCCCTTTCCGGGGGAACGAGGCTTTTGCGTATGTGCTACGGCTAATAGATTTCATTTCACCAGCAGTCACCGTACACTTGCCTCCGCTGTCTTCACAGGCAGATCCAATTTACGATGCTTCTTATACCCTTTCAGATTGGAACAAAGAAACATTGGCGCTTCTGGACCAATTCGGGAGATTTCGCGCAAGGATCACCTCGCCGCATTGCGAGAACGCCGAGAAGTTCGCGTACGCCAAGCCAAGTACTCCTCCTTAACACCACAAAAAGGGGACGTGGTAATCGTTGCAGACGATCGAGTCGCTAGAGGACAATGGCCTTATGGCTTCATCGAAAAGCTACATGTCGGGAAAGACGACCGCGCACGCTGCGCGGATGTTCGTGTGCCCAATGGCAAACCCAAAACTCGCTCTCTGACTCAATTATACCCTTTGGAGATTCGAGCCACCTCGAACTCAACGCGAGGCAGGCCTTCCATTAAAACTCCAGTCGCTCCGCAGCGCGTCCAGCCACGTAGAGTCGCAAAAACGGCTTACAATTACATAAAAACTGCGTAGAGCGAGCGATTTAGATAAGAATTCATTGTCTTAGCCCCCTGTGACGTTTACTAGCACGGCGTTTACTAATACACAAACCAGCGCAGAGCGCACTCCACTAACAAACGCCGCGCATAAACTTACGCGGCGCGGTCGCCTTTCACACTCTTCGAAGATCTCAAAGTTGAGCGGTTCAATGAGTTCTGGCCCTCTTGGTGTTAGGTTCAAAGCGACATTGATCATTCACCAAGAAGCTGCTTGAGTTAAGCTGTTTATGCCGATGCGTGTCGTGTCAAATCTCACAGAACACTGGAAATAAGATCACGTGAGTCAGCGTGGTCTGCGCAACGCAATGGCGACTTTTGCTTTC